ACACTGAAGAGTTGTATGTTTTTTTCTATTCATAATTTGGACTTGAGTCGTGAACGAGAATTGTGTATTTTTGCATAGGGAACCCATTGCAACTCGAAATGAGATCATACGATGTCGCATTCAAAATTTAAGTCAATCTTCGTGACTCGGTGGATTTAGTAAGCCTGAAAACACTGAAGAGTTGTATGTTTTTTTCTATTCATACTTTGGACTTGAGTCGTGAACGAGAATTGTGTATTTTTGCATAGGGAACCCATTGCAACTCGAAATGAGATCATACGATGTCGTATTCTAAATTTAAGTCAATCTTCGTAACTCGGTTAATTTAGTAAGCCTGAAAACACTGAAGAGTTGTATGTTTTTTTCTATTCATACTTTGGACTTGAGTCGTGAACGAGAATTGTGTATTTTTGCATAGGGAACCCATTGCAACTCGAAATGAGATCATACGATGTCGTATTCAAAATTTAAGCCAATCTTCGTGACTCGGTTGATTTAGTAAGCCTGAAAACACTGAAGAGTTGTATGTTTTTTTCTATTCATAATTTGGACTTGAGTCGTGAACGAGAATTGTGTATTTTTGCATAGGGAACCCATTGCAACTCGAAATGAGATCATATGATGTCGTATTCAAAATTTAAGTCAATCTTCGTAACTCGGTTTATTTAGTAAGCCTGAAAACACTGAAGAGTTGTATGTTTTTTTCTATTCATAATTTGGACTTGAGTCGTGAACGAGAATTGTGTATTTTTGCATAGGGAACCCATTGCAACTCGAAATGAGATCATACGATGTCGTATTCTAAATTTAAGTCAATCTTCGTAACTCGGTTTATTTAGTAAGCCTGAAAACACTGAAGAGTTGTATGTTTTTTTCTATTCATAATTTGGACTTGAGTCGTGAACGAGAATTGTGTATTTTTGCATAGGGAACCCATTGCAACTCGAAATGAGATCATATGATGTCGTATTCAAAATTTAAGTCAATCTTCGTAACTCCGTTTATTTAGTAAGCCTGAAAACACTGAAGAGTTGTATGTTTTTTTCTATTCATAATTTGGACTTGAGTCGTGAACGAGAATTGTGTATTTTTGCATAGGGAACCAACCCATTGCAACTCGAAATGAGATCATACGATGTCGCATTCAAAATTTAAGCCAATCTTCGTGACTCGGTTTATTTAGTAAGCCTGAAAACACTGAAGAGTTGTATGTTTTTTTCTATTCATAATTTGGACTTGAGTCGTGAACGAGAAATGTGTATTTTTGCATAGGGATCCCATTGCAACTCGAAATGAGATCATACGAATTAGCATTCAAAATTTAAGCCAATCTTCGTGACTCGGTTGATTTAGTAAGCCTGAAAACACTCAAGAGTTGTATGTTTTTTTCTATTCATAATTTGGACTTGAGTCGTGAACGAGAATTGTGTACTTTTGCATAGAAAACCCATTGCAACTCGAAATGAGATCATACGATGTCGTATTCAAAATTTAAGCCAATCTTCGTGACTCGGTTGATTTAGTAAGCCTGAAAACACTGAAGAGTTGTATGTTTTTTTCTATTCATAATTTGGACTTGAGTCGTGAACGAGAATTGTGTATTTTTGCATAGGGAACCCATTGCAACTCGAAATGAGATCATACGATGTCGTATTCAAAATTTAAGCCAATCTTCGTGACTCGGTTGATTTAGTAAGCCTGAAAACACTGAAGAGTTGTATGTTTTTTTCTATTCATAATTTGGACTTGAGTCGTGAACGAGAATTGTGTATTTTTGCATAGGGAACCCATTGCAACTCGAAATGAGATCATATGATGTCGTATTCAAAATTTAAGTCAATCTTCGTAACTCGGTTTATTTAGTAAGCCTGAAAACACTGAAGAGTTGTATGTTTTTTTCTATTCATAATTTGGACTTGAGTCGTGAACGAGAATTGTGTATTTTTGCATAGGGAACCCATTGCAACTCGAAATGAGATCATACGATGTCGCATTCAAAATTTAAGTCAATCTTCGTGACTCGGTGGATTTAGTAAGCCTGAAAACACTGAAGAGTTGTATGTTTTTTTCTATTCATACTTTGGACTTGAGTCGTGAACGAGAATTGTGTATTTTTGCATAGGGAACCCATTGCAACTCGAAATGAGATCATACGATGTCGTATTCTAAATTTAAGTCAATCTTCGTAACTCGGTTAATTTAGTAAGCCTGAAAACACTGAAGAGTTGTATGTTTTTTTCTATTCATACTTTGGACTTGAGTCGTGAACGAGAATTGTGTATTTTTGCATAGGGAACCCATTGCAACTCGAAATGAGATCATACGATGTCGTATTCAAAATTTAAGCCAATCTTCGTGACTCGGTTGATTTAGTAAGCCTGAAAACACTGAAGAGTTGTATGTTTTTTTCTATTCATAATTTGGACTTGAGTCGTGAACGAGAATTGTGTATTTTTGCATAGGGAACCCATTGCAACTCGAAATGAGATCATATGATGTCGTATTCAAAATTTAAGTCAATCTTCGTAACTCGGTTTATTTAGTAAGCCTGAAAACACTGAAGAGTTGTATGTTTTTTTCTATTCATAATTTGGACTTGAGTCGTGAACGAGAATTGTGTATTTTTGCATAGGGAACCCATTGCAACTCGAAATGAGATCATACGATGTCGTATTCTAAATTTAAGTCAATCTTCGTAACTCGGTTTATTTAGTAAGCCTGAAAACACTGAAGAGTTGTATGTTTTTTTCTATTCATAATTTGGACTTGAGTCGTGAACGAGAATTGTGTATTTTTGCATAGGGAACCCATTGCAACTCGAAATGAGATCATATGATGTCGTATTCAAAATTTAAGTCAATCTTCGTAACTCCGTTTATTTAGTAAGCCTGAAAACACTGAAGAGTTGTATGTTTTTTTCTATTCATAATTTGGACTTGAGTCGTGAACGAGAATTGTGTATTTTTGCATAGGGAACCAACCCATTGCAACTCGAAATGAGATCATACGATGTCGCATTCAAAATTTAAGCCAATCTTCGTGACTCGGTTTATTTAGTAAGCCTGAAAACACTGAAGAGTTGTATGTTTTTTTCTATTCATAATTTGGACTTGAGTCGTGAACGAGAAATGTGTATTTTTGCATAGGGATCCCATTGCAACTCGAAATGAGATCATACGAATTAGCATTCAAAATTTAAGCCAATCTTCGTGACTCGGTTGATTTAGTAAGCCTGAAAACACTCAAGAGTTGTATGTTTTTTTCTATTCATAATTTGGACTTGAGTCGTGAACGAGAATTGTGTACTTTTGCATAGAAAACCCATTGCAACTCGAAATGAGATCATACGATGTCGTATTCAAAATTTAAGCCAATCTTCGTGACTCGGTTGATTTAGTAAGCCTGAAAACACTGAAGAGTTGTATGTTTTTTTCTATTCATAATTTGGACTTGAGTCGTGAACGAGAATTGTGTATTTTTGCATAGGGAACCCATTGCAACTCGAAATGAGATCATACGATGTCGTATTCAAAATTTAAGCCAATCTTCGTGACTCGGTTGATTTAGTAAGCCTGAAAACACTGAAGAGTTGTATGTTTTTTTCTATTCATAATTTGGACTTGAGTCGTGAACGAGAATTGTGTATTTTTGCATAGGGAACCCATTGCAACTCGAAATGAGATCATATGATGTCGTATTCAAAATTTAAGTCAATCTTCGTAACTCGGTTTATTTAGTAAGCCTGAAAACACTGAAGAGTTGTATGTTTTTTTCTATTCATAATTTGGACTTGAGTCGTGAACGAGAATTGTGTATTTTTGCATAGGGAACCAACCCATTGCAACTCGAAATGAGATCATACGATGTCGCATTCAAAATTTAAGCCAATCTTCGTGACTCGGTTTATTTAGTAAGCCTGAAAACACTGAAGAGTTGTATGTTTTTTTCTATTCATAATTTGGACTTGAGTCGTGAACGAGAAATGTGTATTTTTGCATAGGGATCCCATTGCAACTCGAAATGAGATCATACGTATTAGCATTCAAAATTTAAGCCAATCTTCGTGACTCGGTTGATTTAGTAAGCCTGAAAACACTCAAGAGTTGTATGTTTTTTTCTATTCATAATTTGGACTTGAGTCGTGAACGAGAATTGTGTACTTTTGCATAGAAAACCCATTGCAACTCGAAATGAGATCATACGATGTCGTATTCAAAATTTAAGCCAATCTTCGTGACTCGGTTGATTTAGTAAGCCTGAAAACACTGAAGAGTTGTATGTTTTTTTCTATTCATAATTTGGACTTGAGTCGTGAACGAGAATTGTGTATTTTTGCATAGGGAACCTGTGACACCGCACCCGAACGTCCTTGAAAATTCGATTTAAAAATTCAAAAGTGATGTATTGAATTTCCAATTTCAAAACAATGGGAGAAACGATTAATATTTTACGAAGTACATGATTGAATATTGTATTGTTCAAACCCGCATTCTTTTGTAATTTTCATCGTGTAAATTATTGGGATGAGCCTACACATATTGGAGATCAATAATGTGATTTAGGAAGTTGACTTGTTCTAAATAAATTAGGATGAGTACAAAAAGACATCTTTGACAAAGATAAAACAATAGGACCCATCTTCCCATTTTTGGAAGTATTGGTAGATATTTTGGACCCCAAATTTAATGGGATCAATTGGGAACCACTCCACATGGTATTAGTACCTGCAAAACAAATAAAAATGGGTTAGAAGAACTACCTTGGCCGGCCATAATGGAGGGGAGCTGCACATGACTTGATAGGAATCAAAGCTTGGGCCACCATCCTTATTTTCGCACAAATTGGTGTGCTGTTTGTCTCCTCTCATTATAGAAGCTATACTCGACCAAACAACGTGAATAATATGTCCTTGGATAGCCTTTGAAGTCTATTATCTCAATTGAGTGGTCTTTGTTCGAGGAGAGAAGGCTTATCTTACAAAAATCGAGCTGGAACGAGCAGAGGTCTGTGAACTCGAGCTGTGAGAGTGCTGAGACTGTTTGGTCGATATCTCGAGTTTTACAAATCCAATTAAGGCGTGTGAGATACCCACAGAAAGCTCTCAAGACGAGGAATCCGTGAAGGTCTGGTTTGCAGGAATCGGAGTTGTGGAAGGCTTCCAAATCGTCCGAGCAAAACACAACCTCGCAGGAGAGGATTTAATCTTTTAAAGTGAGTTTTAACCCCAAAGCTTTACTTTTCATTCTCCAAATGATATGAACGATTGGTGAGACTATTATACACTAATCCAAGTGTATAATATGTCCTTATAAAGTTATCTATTGATGTAAAGGTTAGATACTAACCTAGATGCAAATATTGGAAAAACTAGGAATCGAGTTAGCCGGAAAACACCCGTTCTAGGGGCTGTTTTCGTATCAACGATTAAGGGTTGAACTAGCACTTTGAGGAGGCTGTTTAACACTCATATTTGAGCAAGGAATCAGTCCCAAATCCACCTTGACCAAAGATTTGACCATTGGACCAAGAAGGGAAAGTTTAAAGCTCAATTGAGGTGAGGATTGACATCTAATTGCTTACAACTTGTAGGTTAAGCATGAGATTACCTAAATGCTTAAATCATGATTTTTCATGGATTATGATGGCTATATATTGATGAAATATTGATATAGTTGCCAAAGAATGAAATTTGAAATGATTTGAGAAGGTATGAATAATATGAGATTAAATGAGTATAAATGAACTATTTGTGAAAATGGGCATTTTTCTCATGAATGAATTATGTGGATACATAAATGAATATTTGTGTATTGAGAATGAATGTTTAAGTTGCTGCTACATAATTATAAATATGTAGAGAATTACAAATAACAAGGATAATGGTTTGATAACAATAATCTTAATAGTATTGAAATACTAGTTAATGATTATTGGGATTTATTGATTAAATTGATCCTAGGGATTGGATTGTATGAAAGGTGCTTGAATATAGTTCAAGTGTATATAATAACTTAGTATGGAACTAAGGTTAAGTTATGGGAAGTCTTTAAGGATGACCCATGGTAGTTTAATGATATGTCAATTCTAGGCATAGGGATTGCTTGAGAATTGGACCTTAATGCATGGTGATGTGATAGAGCCGAGCTCTAGAATGCATGTAAGGGTAGACTTGGAGTCTATGTATTGTATAGCTAGAGCCGAGCTCTAGGACTTGCGTAGTGATGTGGTAGAGCCGAGCTCTAGAACGCAAGGTAAGGAAATTGACCCGAGGTATATGAATTGTATGGTGATGTGGTAGAGCCGAGCTCTAGAATACAATGTCATGTACTAGGGTTGGACTCTAGGAGTTGTCGTGGCTTATAGCCACGGGGTTGGGAATGGTGATTTCCAAATGAAAACGGGCCCACGGGCCGACTACTTGACTTTTATATAAAGTAAGTATATTTTTAAACGGGGTAACTTAGGGTTACAATCATAATGTACTATCACCCTACTTGAGGGTCTTGTGTTTGAAATACTTGTTGTATATCTATTAGATGCCTGCCACACCAGTACTTTATAGCCGTATAGAGTACTGACCCCTTCGGGGGCGTCCCACCACCATTTCAGGTTGAGGCTAGAGCTTGCTTCCTGTGCTCGTTGATCGAGTGATTCCTTGGAGAGAAGACTTGGTTCGTGCTTCCTCCATTCTGTTTTTAAATAATATTAAACTTGCTCATGGATATTTTACTTTAGAGCCTGCGTGCTCATGTTTGCCCTGTGTGGCCCTTTTGTTTTAAACAATGTTTTCCGCTGCGTATTCAATTGTTTATTATGTATGTTTATGGATGACTTATGTGTGAATGATATTCATGACGCCTTGTATAATATGAATGTGTTGGACTGCGGTTGACTATTCGTATTGTACGGCGGGTTGTTGACGTGTCCGGGGAGGTCCGGGGCGTGACAATTAAGTTGGTATCAAAGCCAGGTTCCATAAACTTCATAATGAAGTCTCAAAATTCTCTTTTTGAAAAGATTTTGAAAACCATGAGCATAGAAGTTTTGTACTTGGAGAGCTTTTGGTACTTGGGTTGCAAGGTCTCTAATTGTTAAGATGGTACCCTTAGCAATTGGTATGGCGGTGACTCGAGCCAAAATGTGTCTTAAGTACCTATCCGTCAATTGACATTTGATACGAGTCTAACGACTCCTTCCAAATTTCTTTCAGAAATGGACCGTGGTGGCAGGATTACTAGGAGGAACCCGACGGGTCGTGTACCAGTGGAGACTGGACAGGGCAGTCGAAGGACCTCTAGGGCATCTAGAGGAGCTGGCCGTGGAGGCCGATCACAGACCGTGAGTGACGGTCATGTCGACACGGAAAGTGAAACCTACTGGTCCTATGAGGACTCGACCTATCGACCGGAAACTGAACCGGTTGAGACCCCTTATGAAGGGGATGATGATGATGTAAGTGATGAGGAGGACAACGGCTCCTTAGCGCGGATTGAGGCACTACTCCAACAATATCACCGTGAGCGTGAAGAGAGGAGGGAACGCCGAAGGCGCCGGGCTGGGCAACCTTCGGGCATGGCTTCACGAGGAGGAAGTCATGGTGCATCTAGAGTCCATGTGGAACCACGTGGAGGCCAAAATGATGGAGGTCCAACCATAAGGATCTCCAAATACATCAAAGAAGCAAGAGATTTGGGGTGCAAACCCTTTGATGGAGCAGGGGACATTTCAGTGGCAGCACAATGGATCAAGAGGCTAAATGAAGCGGCCCTTGACATGCAAATCGCGCCGAATCTCAAACTGAGAATTGCGGTAAGATTGCTCGAGGGGATGGCATCCAAGTGGTGGGATGGGACCAAGAACAAGTACGGTGAGACCGTCGTTTGGGAGGACTTCCAACGGGAGTTCTTTGCCCAATACTATTCTGATTTCGAGGTGAATAAGAAGGTGAGGGAATACACCCTCCTAACCCAAGGGGGTAACATGTCAGTGAAGGAGCTTGAGTACAAGTTCCGGGATCTCGCCGACTACATACCGGAGTATGCTTGTGACGAGAACCGCATGGTGAACCACTTTTGGGACGCTCTTGACTTGGAGATACGTGATAGGGCAACGCAATTGCCTAATATGACTTTCGCCCAAGTGGTTGAACAAGCATTGAAAGGGGAGAAACAGTGGGAGGAACGGAAGAAGAGAGACGCCGAAGAGGCGAAAAAGAGAAAATGGGAGAGTCATGGCTCCCAAGGTTCCAACAAAAGGGGGAACCACGGAGGAGGATCGTTCCGGGCACCACCGCCACCATCAAGGGGGAACCAAGGCCCGAGTGGGCAAGGCTCGAGGTCACAAACCTCGGTGATAACTCGTTGCAACAATTGCAAGAAGAATCACTCCGGTAAGTGTCGCGACCCCACTAGATGTTTCCAATGTGGGGATGTCGGACACTTGAAGGCGCATTGCCCCCAGTTGGGTGGGGCAAGGACATCGGGACCAAGTAGCGGGGCTGCGGGAAGTAGAAACCAAGCCGGGGGTTCCCAAGTAACCAGGGGGCAAGGGGGAGCAAGCGCGAGTAACGCGCCGTCCGTGAATCAAGGAAGGACGCAAGCTAGAGTCTACGCAATGACCGAGGCTGATGCTCGGACTAATCCCGACTCCGTCGCATGTAATACACTTATTCGGGTCATTTCTAGGCTTATTTTGATCATATACGTCGTTGGGATTGAGTACGGGCCACCCCGGGGTCAAACTGGGTGAGTTAGGCCGAATCGGGCTGGAAACAGCCACTGCTGGCCAGGCACGCCCGAAGGCACTCCGTGCCTGGAATCGTGCCTGGAAGGCAGTGGCACCCGAAGGAAAGAAAAAAAAAAATTTTTTTTGGGCCAGGCACGGCCGCAGGCACGCCGTGCCTGGCGTCGTGCCTGGGAGGCAGTAGCGCCCAGGGCTTTTTCCCAAGCCAGGCACGACCGTGCCTACCCCAGGCACGCCGTGCCTGGCACCCAGATTGCCGAAACCCGATTTTTTCGCATCGTTTTGCGACGTTAAGGCCTCTTCTTGATCTCTAACGTGCGTGTGAACATTGCAACCTTCTATAAATGAGTAGGGAGGATAGGAAAGATGTCTTACATGGTTCATGAATGTAGGGACACTAAAGATTAACGGAAAGGATGCACGAATCCTTATCGATACCGGAGCGCAACGTTCATTCGTGAGTGAGGCGTTTGCCGAGAGCTTAGAGATGCAATCAATACCAATGACACAAACCTTAGTGGTATCAACCCCACTAGGGGAAGACGTTGAAAGAAACAATTACTATCCATCTTGTATGGTGGAAATCGGTGGCCAAACCTTGACGTGTGATTTCGTACCGCTGAGTATGATGGAGTTCGATGCAATCCTAGGGATGGATTGGCTAGAAAAGCATCATGCTAGGGTAGATTGCTACACAAAGGTGTTGGAACTCGAAGGCACACATGGGGACACCCTACGCTTCGAGGGGGACCGCGGCAAATCAAATAGTTGTATCATATCCGCCGTGAGAGCGAGAAATATGATGAGGAAGGGATGCCACGCATATCTAGCATACGTGGTTGACAAAACCAAAGAGGGAACGAACATCGATGATGTGAGGGTGGTTTGTAAGTATCCGGATGTCTTCCCTAAAGACCTACCGGGGCTTCCACCTGACAGAGAGATTGAATTTGTGATCGAGGTCGAGCCGGGTACCAAACCAATCTCCATACCGCCATACCGGATGGCACCCGCTGAACTTAACGAGTTGAAAACCCAATTGCAAGAGCTTTTGGATAACGGTTTCATTAGACCAAGCCACTCCCCGTGGGGAGCACCGGTTCTTTTTGTGAAAAAGAAAGATGGGACACTTCGAATGTGCATTGACTATCGTCAACTGAACAAGGTCACAATCAAGAATAGGTATCCGTTGCCTAGGATTGATGACTTGTTTGATCAACTACGAGGAGCCACCGTGTTTTCGAAGATTGACTTAAGGTCGGGGTACCATCAATTGAAGATTAAGGAAGATGACATACCAAAGAGTGCTTTCCGCACAAGGTATGGGCATTTTGAGTTCCTTGTTATGTCGTTTGGGTTAACAAACGCCCCGGCGGCATTCATGGACTTGATGAACCGAGTATTTCATAAATACTTGGATCGATTCGTGATTGTGTTCATAGATGACATCTTGATTTACTCAAAGAGTGAAGAAGAGCATGAGGAGCACTTGATACTTGTTCTTGAAACACTACGGGAGAAGCAACTCTATGCCAAATTTTCTAAATGTGAATTTTGGCTAAAGGAGATTGGCTTCCTCGGGCACGTGGTTTCGGGATCGGGGATTGCTGTTGATAACAAGAAGATAGAAGCCATTACTGAATGGGAGAGGCCAAAGAACGTCAAGGAAATTCGTAGTTTCCTTGGATTGGCAGGCTACTATAGAAAGTTCGTGGAAAAGTTCTCTGTTTTGGCATCGCCATTGACGAAGCTCACTCGTAAAGGAGCTAAGTTTGTATGGGATGACAAATGTGAGAAAGGGTTCATGGAACTAAAGAAGAGATTGACTGAGGCACCGGTACTTGCATTACCCAAACAAGGTGTGGGGTACGATGTCTATAGCGATGCGAGCATCCAAGGGCTCGGATGTGTACTGATGCAGAATGGGAGGGTAATCGCCTATGCTTCACGACAATTGAAGAAGCATGAGGTGAATTATCCTACTCATGATTTGGAGCTCGGGGCAGTGGTATTTGCACTGAAGATATGGAGACATTATCTCTACGGGGAGACATGTCACATATACACTGATCACAAGAGCTTGAAGTACGTGTTTACTCAGAAAGAGCTAAACATGAGATAGAGACGGTGGATGGAGCTGATAAAAGACTACCATCTGGTGATAGAGTATCACCCAGGCAAGGCAAACGTGGTGGCAGATGCTTTGAGCCGGAAGAGCTCGTCTGGGGCATTGATAACTAATTTGAGGGCATTAAGAGCCCAACTGGAGGTAACCAGCGATGGTGCCTTATTGGCACGATTTGAGGTGAGACCCACTTTACTTGATGAGATCAAGAAGGGTCAGGAAGCCGACGAAGAACTTATGAAGGTCCGGGAACGCATGCAAGCGGGGCCGGTGGAGGATTTCAGGGAAAGAGATGATGGTCTCTTGTTATTTCGTGACCGAGTGTGTGTACCGTCAGATGATGAGCTCCGAAAGTCCATCTTAGAGGAGGCTCATTCATCGGCTTATGCCATGCACCCGGGGGGCACGAAAATGTACCGTGATTTGAAGGAAAGTTACTGGTGGTCTGGAATGAAGAGGGAAATAGCCGAGTACATCAGTCGGTGCCTTACTTGTCAACAAGTTAAGGCAGAACATCAGCACCCAGCAGGCTTATTGCAACCACTCTCCATCCCTGAATGGAAGTGGGAGCACGTGACTATGGATTTCGTGGTAGGCTTACCACGGACTATCAGGAACTATGACGCGGTTTGGGTCGTTGTGGATAGGCTCACAAAGAGTGCACACTTCTTGCCTATCAACACTACCTACCCACTTGAGAGGTTAGCCAAATTGTATACGGATGAGATCGTGAGGCTGCATGGGGTCCCGGTGACCATTGTATCTGATAGAGACCCACGATTCACTTCACGTTTTTGGCCGAAATTCCAGGAGTCTATGGGAACGAAGTTGAAGTTCAGCACTGCTTTCCATCCACAGACGGATGGGCAGTCTGAAAGGGTTATTCAGATCCTAGAAGACATGCTGAGGGCTTGTGCATTGGAGTTCCAGGGAAGTTGGGACAACCACTTAGCACTTGTGGAGTTTGCCTATAACAACAGTTATCAGGCAAGCATCGGCATGCCTCCATACGAGGCATTGTATGGGAGGAGGTGCCGTACACCGTTATGCTGGGACGAGGTTGGCATGGCCAAACTCGAGGGTACTGAGTTGGTTGAGGTCACCAAATCAAAGGTGAAGTTGATTCGAGAGAGACTCAAGGCGGCTCAGGATAGACAAAAGAGTTATGCAGATAAGCGTCGAAGAACCTTAGAGTTTAAGGTTGATGACGAGGTATTCTTGAAAGTTTCTCCTTGGAAAGGGATCATTCGGTTCCAAACCCGAGGAAAACTTAACCCACGATATATAGGTCCATTCAGAATTATAGAGAGGATTGGGGCCGTTGCATATCGTCTACAGTTGACTCCTGAGTTAGAGAAGATACATAATGTGTTTCATGTATCCATGCTTAAGAAGTATGTGCATGATCCCTCTCACGTACTGGAGAAGCCACCTGTAGAGGTACGTGAGGATTTGAACTACGCTGTTCAACCTATCAAGGTCACCGATAGAAAGGTGAAGAAGCTGAGGAGCAAAGAAGTCCCAATGGTTAAAGTCCTGTGGAAGAGCGATCGGGTCGAGGAAGAGACATGGGAAACGGAGGCTTTGATGAGGAAGCAGTATGCTTTCCTATTCGAGTAGAGCTGTGAATTTCGGGGACGAAATTCCTGTTAAGGGGGGGTGAACTTGTGACACCGCACCCGAACGTCCTTGAAAATTCGATTTAAAAATTCAAAAGTGATGTATTGAATTTCCAATTTCAAAACAATGGGAGAAACGATTAATATTTTACGAAGTACATGATTGAATATTGTATTGTTCAAACCCGCATTCTTTTGTAATTTTCATCGTGTAAATTATTGGGATGAGACTACACATATTGGAGATCAATAATGTGATTTAGGAAGTTGACTTGTTCTAAATAAATTAGGATGAGTACAAAAAGACATCTTTGACAAAGATAAAACAATAGGACCCATCTTCCCATTTTTGGAAGTATTGGTAGATATTTTGGACCCCAAATTTAATGGGATCAATTGGGAACCACTCCACATGGTATTAGTACCTGCAAAACAAATAAAAATGGGTTAGAAGAACTACCTTGGCCGGCCATAATGGAGGGGAGCTGCACATGACTTGATAGGAATCAAAGCTTGGGCCACCATCCTTATTTTCGCACAAATTGGTGTGCTGTTTGTCTCCTCTCATTATAGAAGCTATACTCGACCAAACAACGTGAATAATATGTCCTTGGATAGCCTTTGAAGTCTATTATCTCAATTGAGTGGTCTTTGTTCGAGGAGAGAAGGCTTATCTTACAAAAAGCGAGCTGGAACGAGCAGAGGTCTGTGAACTCGAGCTGTGAGAGTGCTGAGACTGTTTGGTCGATATCTCGAGTTTTACAAATCCAATTAAGGCGTGTGAGATACCCACAGAAAGCTCTCAAGACGAGGAATCCGTGAAGGTCTGGTTTGCAGGAATCGGAGTTGTGGAAGGCTTCCAAATCGTCCGATCAAAACACAACCTCGCAGGAGAGGATTTAATCTTTTAAAGTGAGTTTTAACCCCAAAGCTTTACTTTTCATTCTCCAAATGATATGAACGATTGGTGAGACTATTATACACTAATCCAAGTGTATAATATGTCCTTATAAAGTTATCTATTGATGTAAAGGTTAGATACTAACCTAGATGCAAATATTGGAAAAACTAGGAATCGAGTTAGCCGGAAAACACCCGTTCTAGGGGCTGTTTTCGTATCAACGATTAAGGGTTGAACTAGCACTTTGAGGAGGCTGTTTAACACTCATATTTGAGCAAGGAATCAGTCCCAAATCCACCTTGACCAAAGATTTGACCATTGGACCAAGAAGGGAAAGTTTAAAGCTCAATTGAGGTGAGGATTGACATCTAATTGCTTACAACTTGTAGGTTAAGCATGAGATTACCTAAATGCTTAAATCATGATTTTTCATGGATTATGATGGCTATATATTGATGAAATATTGATATAGTTGCCAAAGAATGAAATTTGAAATGATTTGAGAAGGTATGAATAATATGAGATTAAATGAGTATAAATGAACTATTTGTGAAAATGGGCATTTTTCTCATGAATGAATTATGTGGATACATAAATGAATATTTGTGTATTGAGAATGAATGTTTAAGTTGCTGCTACATAATTATAAATATGTAGAGAATTACAAATAACAAGGATAATGGTTTGATAACAATAATCTTAATAGTATTGAAATACTAGTTAATGATTATTGGGATTTATTGATTAAATTGATCCTAGGGATTGGATTGTATGAAAGGTGCTTGAATATAGTTCAAGTGTATATAATAACTTAGTATGGAACTAAGGTTAAGTTATGGGAAGTCTTTAAGGATGACCCATGGTAGTTTAATGATATGTCAATTCTAGGCATAGGGATTGCTTGAGAATTGGACCTTAATGCATGGTGATGTGATAGAGCCGAGCTCTAGAATGCATGTAAGGGTAGACTTGGAGTCTATGTATTGTATAGCTAGAGCTGAGCTCTAGGACTTGCGTGGTGATGTGGTAGAGCCGAGCTCTAGAACGCAAGGTAAGGAAATTGACCCGAGGTATATGAATTGTATGGTGATGTGGTAGAGCCGAGCTCTAGAATACAATGTCATGTACTAGGGTTGGACTCTAGGAGTTGTCGTGGCTTATAGCCACGGGGTTGGGAATGGTGATTTCCAAATGAAAACGGGCCCACGGGCCGACTACTTGACTTTTATATAAAGTAAGTATATTTTTAAACGGGGTAACTTAGGGTTACAATCATAATGTACTATCACCCTACTTGAGGGTCTTGTGTTTGAAATACTTGTTGTATATCTATTAGATGCCTGCCACACCAGTACTTTATAGCCGTATAGAGTACTGACCCCTTCGGGGGCGTCCCACCACCATTTCAGGTTGAGGCTAGAGCTTGCTTCCTGTGCTCGTTGATCGAGTGATTCCTTGGAGAGAAGACTTGGTTCGTGCTTCCTCCATTCTGTTTTTAAATAATATTAAACTTGCTCATGGATATTTTACTTTAGAGCCTGCGTGCTCATGTTTGCCCTGTGTGGCCCTTTTGTTTTAAACAATGTTTTCCGCTGCGTATTCAATTGTTTATTATGTATGTTTATGGATGACTTATGTGTGAATGATATTCATGACGCCTTGTATAATATGAATGTGTTGGACTGCGGTTGACTATTCGTATTGTACGGCGGGTTGTTGACGTGTCCGGGGAGGTCCGGGGCGTGACAGAACCCATTGCAACTCGAAATGAGATCATACGATGTCGTATTCAAAATTTAAGCCAATCTTCGTGACTCGGTTGATTTAGTAAGCCTGAAAACACTGAAGAGTTGTATGTTTTTTTCTATTCATAATTTGGACTTGAGTCGTGAACGAGAATTGTGTATTTTTGCATAGGGAACCCATTGCAACTCGAAATAAGATCATATGATGTCGTATTCAAAATTTAAGTCAATCTTCGTAACTCGGTTTATTTAGTAAGCCTGAAAACACTGAAGAGTTGTATGTTTTTTTCTATTCATAATTTGGACTTGAGTCGTGAACGAGAATTGTGTATTTTTGCATAGGGAACCCATTGCAACTCGAAATGAGATCATACGATGTCGTATTCAAAATTTAAGCCAATCTTCGTGACTCGGTTGATTTAGTAAGCCTGAAAACACTGAAGAGTTGTATGTTTTTTTCTATTCATAATTTGGACTTGAGTCGTGAACGAGAATTGTGTATTTTTGCATAGAAAACCCATTGCAACTCAAAATGAGATCATACGATGTCGTATTCAAAATTTAAGCCAATCTTCGTGACTCGGTTGATTTAGTAAGCCTGAAAACACTGAAGAGTTGTATGTTTTTTTATATTCATAATTTGGACTTGAGTCGTGAACGAGAATTGTGTATTTTTGCATAGGGAACCCATTGCAACTCGAAATGAGATCATACGATGTCGTATTCAAAATTTAAGCCAATCTTCGTGACTCGGTTGATTTAGTAAGCCTGAAAACACTGAAGAGTTGTATGTTTTTTTCTATTCATAATTTGGACTTGAGTCGTGAACGAGAATTGTGTATTTTTGCATAGGGAACCCATTGCAACTCGAAATGAGATCATATGATGTCGTATTCAAAATTTAAGTCAATCTTCGTAACTCGGTTTATTTAGTAAGCCTGAAAACACTGAAGAGTTGTATGTTTTTTTCTATTCATAATTTGGACTTGAGTCGTGAACGAGAATTGTGTATTTTTGCATAGGGAACCAACCCATTGCAACTCGAAATGAGATCATACGATGTCGCATTCAAAATTTAAGCCAATCTTCGTGACTCGGTTTATTTAGTAAGCCTGAAAACACTGAAGAGTTGTATGTTTTTTTCTATTCATAATTTGGACTTGAGTCGTGAACGAGAAATGTGTATTTTTGCATAGGGATCCCATTGCAACTCGAAATGAGATCATACGAATTAGCATTCAAAATTTAAGCCAATCTTCGTGACTCGGTTGATTTAGTAAGCCTGAAAACACTCAAGAGTTGTATGTTTTTTTCTATTCATAATTTGGACTTGAGTCGTGAACGAGAATTGTGTACTTTTGCATAGAAAACCCATTACAACTCGAAATGAGATCATACGATGTCGTATTCAAAATTTAAGCCAATCTTCGTGACTCGGTTGATTTAGTAAGCCTGAAAACACTGAAGAGTTGTATGTTTTTTTCTATTCATAATTTGGACTTGAGTCGTGAACGAGAATTGTGTATTTTTGCATAGGGAACCCATTGCAACTCGAAATGAGATCATACGATGTCGTATTCAAAATTTAAGCCAATCTTCGTGACTCGGTTGATTTAGTAAGCCTGAAAACACTGAAGAGTTGTATGTTTTTTTCTATTCATAATTTGGACTTGAGTCGTGAACGAGAATTGTGTATTTTTGCATAGGGAACCCATTGCAACTCGAAATAAGATCATATGATGTCGTATTCAAAATTTAAGTCAATCTTCGTAACTCGGTTTATTTAGTAAGCCTGAAAACACTGAAGAGTTGTATGTTTTTTTCTATTCATAATTTGGACTTGAGTCGTGAACGAGAATTGTGTATTTTTGCATAGGGAACCCATTGCAACTCGAAATGAGATCATACGATGTCGTATTCAAAATTTAAGCCAATCTTCGTGACTCGGTTGATTTAGTAAGCCTGAAAACACTGAAGAGTTGTATGTTTTTTTCTATTCATAATTTGGACTTGAGTCGTGAACGAGAATTGTGTATTTTTGCATAGAAAACCCATTGCAACTCGAAATGAGATCATACGATGTCGTATTCAAAATTTAAGCCAATCTTCGTGACTCGGTTGATTTAGTAAGCCTGAAAACACTGAAGAGTTGTATGTTTTTTTATATTCATAATTTGGACTTGAGTCGTGAACGAGAATTGTGTATTTTTGCATAGGGAACCCATTGCAACTCGAAATGAGATCATACGATGTCGTATTCAAAATTTAAGCCAATCTTCGTGACTCGGTTGATTTAGTAAGCCTGAAAACACTGAAGAGTTGTATGTTTTTTTCTATTCATAATTTGGACTTGAGTCGTGAACGAGAATTGTGTATTTTTGCATAGGGAACCCATTGCAACTCGAAATGAGATCATATGATGTCGTATTCAAAATTTAAGTCAATCTTCGTAACTCGGTTTATTTAGTAAGCCTGAAAACACTGAAGAGTTGTATGTTTTTTTCTATTCATAATTTGGACTTGAGTCGTGAACGAGAATTGTGTATTTTTGCATAGGGAACCCATTGCAACTCGAAATGAGATCATACGATGTCGTATTCAAAATTTAAGCCAATCTTCGTGATTCGGTTGATCTAGTAAGCCTGAAAACACTGAAGAGTTGTATGTTTTTTTCTATTCATAATTTGGACTTGAGTCGTGAACGAGAATTGTGTATTTTTGCATAGGGAACCCATTGCAACTCGAAATGAGATCATATGATGTCGTATTCAAAATTT